TCATCGACATATTTACTAGCCACTAGAATAGAACTAATGAAGACTCTATGAGCGGTTCCATATTCAGTTTCAAAATTTTTAGGCAATTGTTTTTTAAGTCGGTGAATATAAATCAAGCAAACAACAACGATTAAAACTGGTAAATTTAAATCATGAATAATTTTCTTTATGAAATCTAGTAAGTCTGGAAGTTGTTGAGATTTTTGACGTTGCGGTCGGCTCATAGGGAGGAATGAGTCCATAGACGTCGTGGTGAAATCTAATAATAAACGTAAAAAAAATGATTAAAGTTCAGAAAATTTGAATAGATGAACTGACAATTCTTGGATCGATTTCAAGGAAAAGAAAAAGAAACAACAATTTACCGATAAGTTCTGCTGGAACCGGCTTACTCATGGAATGTTTAGTAAGTGCAGAATTAGCTATGTTAGTAGCCATTTCTTGTTATTGAAATATTTATTATAGAAAAACGCGAAAATATATAATCTTTAAAACAAGGCAATATTCAAATATTTTATTGTATGATACGTTAAGAATAATTCAAAGATTAAAATAAAGTAGCTTGAAAAAAAGAAAAACACAAATTTAATAGCTTTTTATTTAAATTTGATGAATCAACAGAATATTAGTTCGACAAACATTCAATTAAAAATATAAAAGATCTTGAGAATTAATTTACAAATGGAAAAAGGAAGAAAGGAAATGTGTGAGTCATATTTATTTTACTTCGTAAACATAGCAAAAAACGCATAGTTACACGAATTTGATGTGTGATTTCTATAAAAGAATTCTGACTAAACAACGAAATCTGAAACAAATGATCACGAGATTAACTTCATACTGATGTCAATTAACCTTTTCATGGATGTTCCCTGAATATCGATATTGATGCATTAACTTTTATAAACAGGACTAAGCAACATGATATCACGATTAAATAAAAATATATATAGTATTTTTCTTTTTACATTATTACACAACTTACCGTTTCTTATTTCCAATTAGCGATGTCACGTACTGTACATACATACATACGTACAGTACCGTACGTATGTATCAATGTTTTATTAAGTATTTATCATTGAACATCACATGGTTTTGATCTTCACAATTAGTTTGGGTAACATTCGCTACAGTACGTATCAGAGTATCAGAAACGTATTACTAATATCATACTTTGAAAGTTGCTTGTAAAGATTTGCTTGTTTATGAGAATTTCTCCGTTACTAGTATATTATGAGTGTTTTACATAACCATGAATATTTATAGATATACAATAAATGCTAAAATATTGTAAAAATAAATAAAAAATTGATTTCTATATAGTGTAGAAAAGTTTCGTGAGATGCAGTCCTATAAAATGACTAATACAGTATCATAAAATGGTATAATTCTATTGATGGAATGTTCAGCCCTATATGTAAAAAAAAAAACGTGAATTTTAATTGAATTTGGTATATTTCTGTATTTTGATACTGAATATATCTAGGGAACGATATGGGATCGATCTATAGGTAAATTCTATATCATTCCGTATAATTTATCTAAATTCTACTTCAATTTTTCATAGAACAATTGAAATTTGAATGACTGTTTAATTGGACATTAAAATGTCGTTTATGCTATTATCGTTTTAAAAATGTCTATCATATCAAAAATTTTAAAACCGTCGTTAGGATGATATGAACGAACTAAATTTATATAACATCTTGCAGTTACACAATTCATGCACATCACTTACCATACCACATGCCTGAAATACTGTAAATGACTGGGTCATTTGCTTATTTTTCAAATGACTTCAAATGACCTCAGAAATGGCCGGTGTTACGAAAATTTTGTGTTAATTTTCTTTGTTACATTTTTTATATTGTGTTAGTATTTCTTACTATATTTGTTAGCACTATTGCTGTGCATAATCACAGATGT